AAAAGTCTCATATGATGTCACAATGCGCCAATAGGCTACCAATTAGAATGCGATACAAAAGGAAAAATGAACTCTGAAAGAAATTTCAATTACCCCGCTCGCGAATCATACATGCGACGCGGGGCAAATATTCAAACTGATGAATAAAGGAAAGTGGGGGGACTATCTGTATTGGAGAAAATTATATTTATGTATATGGTGACGTGTCATGACGTATAGATTGGTCAAACAGTCAAAGAAATAAGGTTGGTTAACAGATACGAGCAACAACAGACACGAGCAACAACAGATACGAGCAAGTTAAATGAAGAAGGCACGGGCAGTCATACAAATAATTCAATGCTCGTACCTATTCAAGACATTCAAGGGTCAAAGATCGAGAAGAGACAAAGGAATGAATCTGACAGCAAAAAAGAGCCCAGATACGGCATTTAATGAGTATTAAAAACTAGAAACGTTAGAGAATATGTATTTAATGTATATAATTGCATAACGTAACATTTAAGGTCATTAATTACCCATAATTGTCTTATTATGACAAAGAGAAAATTTGTATTCCCAAAACAGCTATAAAAGGAAAAGTCACAAACAATTGTGGGGACACAAAAAACACTACTGGAATATACTTTGTTTTATTTGCTTTCTGATTATATTATTCAAAATCTCTTTCTTATATACTTTTTCGATTATCAGTAACCCGAGTTCTTCTAAATTCAAGCTTTGACCTAAAATCTAATTTTTGGTTAAACATTAGTGGACTTCATTAATGAGACAAAGCTCCTATGAAAAAGGATAGAAAAAGGTCTTTCAACGAAAATCCATAGGACATAGTGTTCGTACAAAGTATGGTGTGGATTGTCGGAGGAATTAAAGAATTCAAAACATTAAACACACCAAAAATGCCCCTTTGATAAGGAATGTAACAAAAAGTGAACAAGAACTTACAGAGTCGTGTAAACATAAATCCTAATCAACAATCAAGGTTGTATACAAAATCAATGCAAGTTGGCACTCACCCCACCAACATTTCTCCCAAAAAAAAACTAAAAATCACATTGGCTACATTTATATTAATCCAAATCATGAACTCTCAAATCTTAACACTTATAATTTAACAAAAAAAGCACCCATGTAATTTCGTCAAAACAATTAGCATCAACAGGCAGGATATTTTTGTCCAAGTTTCATACTGGGAACAAAAACAGCCAGCAACTTCTGATCTCTACCAACTTTACTAAAGCTAAAGAAAAGTGGACTGCGCATCAATTTGCTTAATAAGCACTCGGCAATTTCTTCTTCTGATTTCAGTGACAGAAAGCTTGGTCCCTACCATGAATTTTGGCACTGTTGATGAGCATGTTTGGTTTTGATCTCTCTCTCTTCGCATTACACAGTACCAGCTTTTGAGCTTCCCAACGGGGTGAACATGAAGTTTCCCGAAAATATAGCTTCTTTATCTGTCCAATCAAAAGCACCATCACTATGATGAAAAGTTCCAAAAATATTTTATCTTTATACAGGCTACCAGTGAGGAATCAGTAAGGAAAAAGAATTTATTGAAAATTCCTCATAAGTCTTCGTGGTATAATTTTGCTTATATGTTACGATTGAGAATGGGGCTGCTTTAAGTGAGAAAAGATAGGATCATCCATGCATCGACAATATGGGCATGAAAAGACAGAGATATAGCACAGACAACCCGTGCCTTCAAACCCTAGCCCCATTTTGTTTAACAAATCAAAAGAAATGGATGGATTCAATTCAATCAATCCTCAGGTACGAAGCCCCATGCACAATGTCTGATGCAATAAAACTGAGTTAAAAGAATTCTCTGAAACAATTAACTGGGCATTGGTAAAGAGAATTTCAAAGACTTCCATGTCTAGCCACAAATCAATAGCCAGAATCACAATCAAGCATCCTAACCACTCTGCTAAGCTTTTGTTTCATACAATACTTGTGCAAACATTTCAAATGCAGGAAAGATATCTCATGCCAACTGATATATTTAAGAGTTAACAAAATTATTTTATTATACTCAAGATTATGTTTAAAGACAACAAGACTTCCTGTAAAAAATCTCATCATTCTATTTTCCCGTGTTTTCTTTTCCTGATGGAGGGGTGGTTTGCAGATGTGAAACATGACACCACATGGACAGAGACTGCAGTGTCTCACACTGTTTAAGATTTTCCTGTGTCTCTTTAAGAGGGGAGACAAGAGCATGAAAGCCCTCAGTTAACAAGTGCTAACATAATTTTCACATAAATCGATATATACATATTTGTTTGAGGCAGAATTAGTACCTGTCAATGACATACAGTTGAATTCCCTGCGAACATACCTCGACAAAGCCTGCAATCACACAATTAAAGAATATAATAAGCTTGGTATACATACAGAGCCGAACCAAAAACAAACTACATGCAATAATCTGAAAAGAAAAATAAGCATGGTATGCAGAATCCTTGGACGCATTAAACCTTTGGTACAGAGCCCAATAAAGTGAAAATTAAATTCAAGGGAAATTACTAAAAGAGATGTACTTTCAAGAAATGATGAATGCTAGTCTCAAAACTACACTGTTTCTTGCAGTCAATAGAAGGTGAAAGCTACTCCCTCCGTTCACTTTTACTTGTCCACTATTGGCTTTTCACGCCCCTTAAGAAATAATAAATAAAGTGCATAATTTACCATGATACCCATATTAATTGGTGTATAGTTTTAATGGATTTGGAAATGATTTGGAATGAGAATTAATGCTAAGGGCAAAACAGGAAAAATAAATTATTTTTCTCTTGATATGCGAAAAGTGACAAGTAAATATAAAAATTTATTTTTAGTATACTTGACAACTAAAAGTGAACGGAGGGAGTAATAACAACTTAAGGAGAAATGAGAACAAATTTTATCTTTCACGAAAGATGCAAAAGCATTTACATTTTGACATGCAGTCCCCAACTCTTTTAATCGACCACCAACTGCCTACAGTACAAGTCTACAGTTCTGAGCAAAGACTGCATCAAGAAGAGCACCTCAAGAATGGAAAGATATACTTGCCTGGAGAGGAAGCAAGGCAGCATGATCTGGTGTAGATGTACCATCATCAGAGAAGACATTCCTACAACATAAAATATCAGAAGGTCAATCAAATAGAATGCACATAGAATTGCCATTGGTAACCAAATGGGCATCTCTTCAATCTTAATTACAATAGGGCATAATAAAGACTAAAGAGAACTCCACCATTTTCTGATTACCAAATATAATACTATATCTTTGTGTATACCATTCTCCTATACCACATCAAAGTGTAGTTTACTATAACACCACAGTAACATCATGCTTCAAAATATGCAGCTGCAAAACAATAAACAGCTAGTTCCAAGTTCCACCCACAGTTTGGAACTAACCTTGGACAAGGTCAGTGTTAAGAGAACTCTCCAACTTTCAGATGGACGCTGTATAGAGGGGCAATTCAAATATAGAAGAGCAAAAACGAAAGGAAAAAAAGTGAGCTAGAATCGTCAATGAATACGCAGGAATATAAGATAATGAGAGAAAGGCTTCAACTTCTGTAATTCCACTGGATCTTTGGTTTAGCTATCCCTCAATACAAGGGAGAAGCAAATAGTCAATTCCTAACGATCCTAGCTTGCTTGTAGCTAACAATGATTAGTTTTTGGATTCGCTTCTCTATCCAGACAAGATCATCCGATAAGGAGCGATGCATTTCATCATAACTTGTTGCAAGCTTAAAAGATCTTTAAAGAAGGTTGTTTATTATTCTTCATAACAGATATATATATATATTTCAAATCTTCTCACTAGTATCTCATGAAGACACGATTAGTGTTAATTTCTAGCTTGATAAATGTGGAAACCAACTATTACAACCTTCAAATAGAGTTTAGAATGCCTCAAGAGAACTCAATGACTGTTAAAATATTGCAGTCAAATTAAGGCTGATACTATTTTCCTCTTTCTTATGTGGTTAAGGTCTGGAAACTTCAGCACATATACCCTAACAAATGTTTTCATCTTACACATCCTTTTGCATATCGTAATTGAGCAGAGTCCCCTAAGTTTGAAATGGCAACAAATGGAAGCAATTTTGCATTGATAACTGAAATAGCCACAAAGAGTTATACTGAATTAATAAGAAAGATGAAATAGCCCATCAGTTCAATATAATGATGAATGGCCAAGGAAAAAATGATTGGATCACAAACTTCACTTGTTGAAATACTTAACAAACAAACTAAAAATGAAACCTGCTGTTCGGATACATCATGGAGCCTGAAAAAATATTGCTATGCCTTACCTCCAAATTACGTTTTGCAACTCATCCTGCTTAGCTTCAGGAAGCATAGCAGCATCATAGGCAACAATGTTGCCATAAAATATCTTCTCTAAATCCTTCATCCATTTAGTCAACAATAAGTTAACCTGCAATTTCAATAGAACAAAAGATACAAATAAGCTTAAGTTTATAAATCCTGTTATTTAACCATTCAGAATCTTGCATGCCCATTATAAATCACAATAAGAGAAAGAGGAATTTCATCTGCCATCACAGAGCTGCTTATCCAGTTACATACTACCTTCCCCTTTTCCTTTTCAGTGAGTACAAATTGTGGAAAAACCACAATGACGATGAAAATACTTTTTTCTTTTAGGGGATGAAGTTAATTATTTTATAATGTGAAAAAGGATAGCTCCCACATACAAGGTGTATACAAAAGTACATACTCATATAAGTATGAATCTCCACAAAAGAATTAATTTTGTCATACACAATATAAAGACGTCCAACAAAACTTTTTGCAAATGAACTTTGAAATCCTTCAAACGCTCTTCTGTTCCACTCTTTCCATATTGTTAACATGAGAGAACAGAAAAACTTCCATGCTCTCCTTCTCAGCCACTTTTCTGAATTTCCAACCTTTCCACGCCATACACCATAATGTATGTGCTATCAGGCAATAATGCATACATCCTCTCCAGCTTTCTCGCACACGAAGCACCAATTAATGTGAATTGTCCTTCTTCTGCACAATTTATCAGCCGTTAGGATGCCTCCCCATTCTACTGGCAAAGTTCTTTTGGTAAGTTATACTACTGTCCAAGTAGAAAAAAACACTTTGGCGCTCTCAGAATCCATATTGATCAGATAGGAGAGTCTCGTTTCTCCCTTTTCAGCAGTTTACTATAGAATAACTTGACCATGAACATAACATTCTTTCGCCTTCCAAATTCAACAGTCCCAATCGGCAAGTGAAATTCATTGCTCATATAATATCCAAGTAAACTGTTAATCTCTTCATCACCCAATCTTGCAGATTTCTCCAAAATTTTAGATCTTATAGTATTCCTACTGTGTGTTCCTTACTGATGTCTGCGACAAAGACAGATCATGGTGTATAGAATCCCAATCTTGGAAATACACTGGAAGAAAATCACAAACATCACATTGAACAGTATACAGTAATCAAGAAAGTTGAAAGGAGAAGGGTGGAAAAGGATTACCCGAAAAGAGAAAAAGAGACATTAGCAAGAGTACTTAGTTTACTATTCCTTAACGGGCATAGGAGAACTGAGTGGAAAAGTCGGAAAAACCACAGTGAAATTTTCTGTGAACAACAGTGGGGAGGAAAGAAACAACCATTTAATCACATGGAATATAGTAACCTCTCCTATGAAAACAAGGGGGTAGAGATAGAGATTTGAGGGACTCAACATAGCCTTCCTAGGAAATGAATTTGACAGTTTAGATGGAGGATCAGGTTTTGTAAAGAAAGGTTATTATATAGTAATTATACTATTATAGACAAATATGGAGTCCAAGTGAGAGGGGGTGGAGGACCATTCAGATTACTTTAACATATGGAGTTTCTAAATTGGGGAGTATAATAAATGGGTGAGATATTTAAAGGAATATTAATTTAAAGCTATTATCTTCTGGAAACAGATTTAACGCGGTAATGCCCCCTTATGTGAAGCTTTTCCAAAGAAGAAAAGCATTAACAGGGGCAGGCATTATACTGAAGAAATTAAAAAAGATGAGTTGTAGGACAATGGAAAAAAGTGCCAGAGCATGGAAAATGTAATGATACGTTTAAACATAGAATCAGATTTCGTCATTAATATCAAACTGAAGACACGACAAGTATACAAACATGGAGGAGGGAACCTCAGATAAATGTTATTCATTTGAAATCCAAAAATGTGAAAAAGATCCTATAAAAATAGTCATAGCAAAATCTCTGAATGAAAAGAAAAAAAAAAGGAAAAGAAAAAGTAGTGATGAGAAAAAGCTTTTGTAGGAGATCAAAGCTCTTTCACCAAGGAAAGTGACATGTTAGATTTACCACCATCCCAAATCTCATATGCAAGAAACAATATAAAAGAGGCTCGCCCATGGTAAGATCATAGATGTCCTCTAGCTTAGGCATCAGAGACTGGTTATAAGACAGCCCATAACTACAGTCCTGTTCCTCATTCTTTTTCTTCTTTCATTTTCTTTTTCTGGAGGATATACCATCATTATCATGCTTTGATATACTTATTAATTTTTTCACCCAAAAATTTTCAAAAGAAAAGAGTAAATAACTATATGGCTACTCTGACTTTATTGATGGTATAACGGCAAAGGGAGACGCAGCAACTCAAAGTATATCCAACAAGATTAACAGTTCCAATATGAATCATGTTGTGACCAGAAACAACTTAAGGAAAAACAGAAGGAATGCCGAGAAGAAGAACTATTTGCTTATAGAATTGATATTTCTGTATCAGGATTCTGTAACTTACCCCAGCTTTAGAAACTCTCAGCTCCACATCATGATTATAAATCTCATATAAATACTGCCCCAACTCAACACCTTCCTTACCCTCCTGTTTCAAGCGTCGTAAGCAAAGCCACATATGTATAACAAGTAACGAGAATGTGGTCTTAAAAGTTTTCTCCAAGTTAAATACTGCACAGCAACATATATACACAGATCAGACAACTAAAATAAACATTAATTAGCATAGCAACTCCACGAAGAAAGGTAATTATAATCTCTAAAGATGGCAGGGAAAAGAAAAACAGAAAAATAAGGGTGTTAGGTAAAAAATAAGCTAATTATAATAGTGTGTTTTCTTGTTTAAATTTCTTAAATGGCTGTATTTTCACAAGAAAGAGTCATCAACTTAGACATAATTGATAACACAGCTGAATATTTTCCTCAAAGCATGATATGGCAAATGAGCATTCAAAAAGTTGAGCTCTAGTATTAACATGAGCAAGAATGCTGTTAAAGATTAGCAATAATGAGCTGGGTTAGATTCTTAAGAGATATAAGCTGCCAGTGCTTAAATGATTAAAAGGATAAGCCAGATACAGTCAACAATTTGACAATTGCTAAATTGCATCTTCAATTCAGATGCTCAATAATGAAATGTCCTATAAGGATCATAGTGAATTCAAAAAAGAAAAGACACTGACATAAACCATTGTTATTTTCTCTTACTTTTCTTAAAAATAAATAACATAAGTTACAGATAATGATCCATACACCAACAGAAAAAGCAAAAGCTATGATGTTCGAGGAGCAGATGAGTGAACAGACTAACCGTCATAAATAGCAGGTCTATCAACTTGGTGAATAACACGGCGATAAATAACATTTGCCCCTCGAATGGACTTGCTTTGCTTACTATAAAACCGCAACAGCTTAAGTGTAAAACGCTTGATGCCCTCGTATTGTGGATCTTCAACTCTTAATGGTGAATCAGGTGCTAATGCCAGTGAATGAGGCTTAGTCCAGAACATCTTATTCAAATTTACCTATTCAAGTGACAGAAATTCAATTAGCAGCAGCCACAGCACTTTGAAAGTTGGAAAAATTAAATCCAACAAATCATTTGCTTGGTATAACCACCAATAACTTGATTAACAGCTTGTTTGGATGGTTGTTACCTATTGTATTATATCGTATTGTTACTTTAAATACAATATTTGTTTTGATCGTTACTTAAATTTTATTATACGTATTGTGTATGTTGTTGTTGTTGTATTGTTAAATCCGTCATTACATAACAACAAAAAGTGCCACTTTATGTAACGACCGATTTGGTGTGGTCACATCGTTATCTTATTTTTTTCTCTTATCTTGCCCTTCCTTATTATTAAATAATTCTATTTTATCCTTTACCCTACCTTTTTATATAATAATTTTACCTCGTATCTTACATTTTCTTTGTAATATTGTAGGTTTATTCTCCATATTGTTTGTGCATGACATCATGAAACGATGACAAACAATACAATCTATCCAAATATTGTATATATCAAAACAATACAGTACAATACAATATGATACGATACATTAAGAAACGATACACAAGATAAAGCTATTTTCTTTCATTTTGCAGCAAGGTCAACATCAGAAATTTAATTAAATAAAAGCACACAAACGTCACAATTTTGGAACAACCAAAGATTAGGATTCAAGCAACAGAGTCATGCCGGACTATAATATCCACACAAATGTTATACTATGTTAAAAACCACAAGTTTCAAAAGCCTCCATTTCCTTTCTTAAACACTCTGTGCCCGAGACAAATAGGTTCAAAGTATACAATAGGCAAATTTAGCTTGAAGCTTAAAAGGTCATCAAGTACTCAAAACCCCCAAGATATAGAACAAAAGTCAAAAGTTAAAAACCTCGGTATTGACATTGAAGATTTTCTCAGTGGGATCAGCTGCAACCGCCGCAACTTTGGAATAATCTCGACAGGAGAAAGAACACAAATGTCTTCCCAATTCTGAGTTAACCCTAGCAAACTGGGAAATAGCCTTGCTCCATCTCGGCAACATCCTTTTCGCTATCAAATCAAACACTACCAGAAACAATGTTTGATATCATAATTCCCCATAAAAACAGAAAAAATAAAAAAGTGCTTAAAATACATACACTAATGCAAACCTTGGAAGAGATTTCTACGAACGACCAGAAATTATGTTCTGGAGCTGTGCTGCGATCGTTGATTTCCAGAGGTTTAGGAATATCTTATTAAACCCTCCTAAATAAGAATGAAATTTGTTCCTCCCCTACCAAAGAAAAAAGTAGTTCAATCGTACGGTCAGGAGGAGCTTTTGGAAAGAGTGAGATCTTATTTCTGTTGCTATGATGATTCCACGTCGTTAATGGCTTGAAATGACTATGATCATTCGTTTTTAATGGGGCCAAATACATAACTAGACCCTTACCATTTTTATATTTTTATATACTATTTGAAACCTTATTATTTTACCTGCTCAAGTTTCAATTTAGTTACATGATCATATACAATTTACCAATTATATACAAATAAGTTTTAAATAAGTTAAATTGAATAAGGAATATCAGCTATTTCCTTATTCCTTTATACTTGTCCACTCTATGTCTTCGTGTCTCTATGTGCTTTTCCCAGTGTACCCATCGTCTAGCTTTCTTTCAGTAATGTGATCTTAATAAAAGAATATAATTTCTGGCGGTGGAACTTTCACACTTAATTGATTATTATAATCTTTGGAGTTCACAGAACAAAGATTGCAACTCAAAATTGCGGATTACAAACACTGAAAAGAATTACTAAATTCAAGACGAAGATAATGTAGTAATTCATCAATGGATTTCTTGTTGTATAGAGTTTTAATGGAATTCATCAATGGATTTCAATCGTTTTAACTTAGCAATTTCCTTTCATGTTGCACAATTGGTGTTCAAATTGAAATTGTCAATCACTAAGTTTTGAAGGTGTTTGACTCTCCACCATTGACGGCCATTAAAAAATTTGAAGCTTTGAATTCGAATTTGGGTTTTCAAAACTATTATTTGTTTGGATTGGGTGTTGTTGCGAACAATTGAGAATATTGTTTGGAGTTTATATCTCAATTTGAGGGTGTTTGGTGAAGATTAGACTTGATTTTGGCTGAATTTCAGATTGAAACTCGTCGAAGTCGAAGAAGAAGAAGAAGAAGACATAATATTGTATAAAAATGATATTTAAGTTGTATGATATTGTAGTTCTATTTAATTGGGTAGAAATAATGTATGAAAGTTGTAGATAAGTTGTAAATAAGTTGTATAATATATAATTACTATGTATAAATCAAATACCAAATATTATTTAAATTATATGACATAGTAGTTGTATTTAAGCACACACCATAGTTGTATAATAAGGTTTCAAATCAAATACCACATGTATCTCAATTATAATGAGAAACATCATGTGGAGAAACTAATAAGCACAGAAAATGTGGTCACGTAAAAACATGGCCAAGATAAAGCATCTACATAGATTCCACCAAAAGGAAGACTTTTTTGTAGAGTATAAAATTGTTCGTGAAATTGAACAGTACTAATCCATGTTGTTTTTCCTCTTAGACGTGGCATGGTTTTGGCAATCCAAAAAGGGAGTATAAATTTTTTCATGAAATCGACGTGTTTTCCTTTTCGTCTGCAATTTGGAGCTGGAGTAATGCTTGTGTTCGGTGAAAGTTCAAGCCTCAAGGTAAGATTGCAAGGTAGTATATCGTTGTTGGTATTTTATGCGAAAATTTGAATGTTGATAATTGATTGCCGAGATTTTTGTTTGATTCTGCCTTTGATATTTTCTCATGATGCTGAGGAAGTTAATGCTAGGTCATTGTTAGGTGATAATACTCTGTACTAGTTTCATTATAAGCTATAACCGTGCAAATAAAATGCAATCAGTTTCTTGTTCATTTGTGGTACTCACTCTCTGACTTCGATTTTGCTTGGCAATCCAAAAAGGGAGGAGGATCTCGCCCTTCCAAAGCTTCTGATAAATTTGGAACGAGTGGAGTGAGGAGAGAAAAAATATAAGTTCGATCGGGAGAGAAGAGGGGAGAGAGGAGATAAAAAAGGAAAAGAGTATAACTAAATCTCGTGATTGAAGGCACTAATAATGAATTGAGAGTCTTTTAAGGTGGATTGTATATATTTTGTAGCTAAAACGTGTTTAGGTCGGGTAAATACAAAAACTTGAACATTTTTCATAATAAGGTTTCAAATAGTATATAGGAACGAAAAAAATCCCTTTTTCATTTAGACACCTTATCTTAGGGCTTGACCTATTAAGCACTTGAACTATACTGAAACTGTATCTATTAAACACACATTGTTGACATGGCCTAAATTTGTATCACACGTATTCCGGGGCGCGTGAGATGATCTTTTTTCTGTAATTCTCTCTGTCCTTTTGTCACGCCCCAAACCTAGGGAGGCGTGACTGGAACCCGGTGCCGCACTGGCCCGAGCGAACCACTCTGCAACATTTTTTTTCTTTGTAACTATCATGGGCCAACATGGCCACAACTCGTAATGTATAACTATAAGTGGGCAACACTGTATCAATAAACTATCGTTCTTAAAACATGAATACATATGGACCGTCAAGGCCTCTGACATACTGTACAAAGTGAACCTCTGTGTCTACAAAGCCTCTAAGATTATTCGACATCAATGGGACAGGGTACCGGCCTACACATAAGTCTGTAGCAAAACTCTGACACGATGACTCAAGACTCGGCTGCACTCCGAATGAGGTGGAGACTTACCGATCCTTCGCTGAATGCTAACCTCGTCTACTATCGGGGCTCGTCAAACTGATTATCTATACCTGCAGGCATGAATGCAGCGTCCCAACAAAAGGACGCCAGTACAAATAATGTACCGAGTATGTAAGGCATGTAAATAAGTATATAAAGGACATGGAAGAAACATGGGGTAGATGACTCAACCTGTAAGGCTAGATAGCTCCGTAAATCATGAAATATTTTGTAATATCACGCATATGCGTATAAATGTCATGAAATGCATAGGTCTGTACGTACATAATATCATCAAGCCTCTGAGGGCATCCCATCATATCTTCTCAGCCACTGTGGGCAAAATCATCATCGTATACCAGCTGATCAGGTGGTGGTGCGTATATAACGTCGTAACCTTTTCCCATATCCCATATACATACATATACATATAAATATACGTATATAACGCCATCTGGTCACGGGTCAATGTACATGTATAAATTAATGAAATGCATGTTAATAATCTCAATATTCCTTTAGGATAAACTTTATCAACTGCGTATTATTCTGAGACCCATGAATAGAAGATATAATAATATGTCACATGGAGAATCAAGAACACAGAGACCACTAGTATTTCTATGAATAGAGATATTTATGAAAATTGTGTATTTACTCATTGCTTTTGTATAATTTGGATCATACCAAAAAGAAAGAAGGGATAGCCTTAACATACCCGGACCCCTTAAGCAATTGAGACCTGAGCCGCATGAACCAGAGAGATAGAAGGTGGTGTTTCTGTAACATTAAAAGCAATCAAAAAGATTAAGAAGCAGTCCACATTCGAACCTCAAAGATCTCTGAAGGTCATTATCGCGATATTATCCAAAGAAAAATGCACTTGGTAAGGTCTTCGAGTGTAGTTGCTTGAATCCCAATCCAATGTCCTGATCCTGACTAGTTAGGAAGTGTCTAAAATATAAGGAAACCAAAATGGATTATTGAACATCTATTTTCCTCTCTCACTTAAAAACAGTTGCCCATTCCCCATTCCCCAACGTAGTTGAATGTAGTGCACAGTAACATGAGTTTAGCATCTCTAATTATCCTTCTAGTCTTTAGAATATCAGCTTTATGGCTGTGGCTGAGGCACTTCCTGGGAAGAAACAATTGGGAAACTCTTAAATGATCACGAGTCATTTTCTCGAAATATTCATCATTGATTGAACTAAAAATGATTCACCTTGTTTCCTGGTGCTTCAAAAGTAGAATAAATTAAACATATCAAAATATTTGATTATACCAATTGTAGTCAGACGTTGCGCCTTAGTGTCTCACAATGAACTTGACCCAAAAATGCTTTCACACCAAAAGCTTCCAATGAACATGCCACCTATTCTCACAAATACATGAGTCACAATCTTTCTAAAGAAAAATCTGCCACGTTATGGCTTATCTAAAGCCTTAATTAATCACCACTGATTTTTAATTATCTTGCTAATATCCCATTAAACTAATAATTAACTAAATACCCACATAATTAAGAATTATCCCAAATTACTTAAAATACTATTTATTTTTGACATACTTTATATAACTTACTATAATGGTCATGTGGTACCATATAAAATAAATACATACACTATTATTTTATTAAAACATCCATATAAAAATACATATATTTTCTCAACTTATAATTTTCCTAATCTCATATATAAAGTAAAAATTTCTCGTACGCTAAATTCTTAAAATGGTAAATAGATAACCTTCTTTTCTTGTGAGAAAATAATTCTATCTTTACAATAAAGAAAATCTCATAAACTTTCTTATATAATGTGTATAATTTACCATATTCGAAAATAGTAATAATGGTAACTATCCAAAATTATACTTATAAAACTTTTACAAAAATACTTCACTTAAAAGAAAATACCGCACTAACATAATATCTAACGATATCAAGGTTGTAAACTTACAGGGTCTCATAATAATAATGTCTTAAACCCTCTATAACCTCCTAATAGACATATAATCCCTTTGAACTCATATAAATTATTACGACTCATCCTAATATTAAAGTACGGGATGTAACACCTTTCTCCTTTCTCCCTATCACCACCTCGTCCGCCATCCCTACTGTTACAGGGCCAATTTTTTCGCAATATTAACACTGCATGGCAGTAGCAAACACACAGCCACTCAGCCTCACTTTTTCGCACACACAGCCTGACACTTAGAATTATTCAGACTTAGCCAAACTTAGCAACACACAGAATTACGGGTAAAATACCCAACCTTTATTATTCTCGCAGAATTACAAAAGGACTCACGTTTGGAATGACTAACAATATGCTACTTGCCAAAGCCAAACGAAATACATATATAAAAAGGGGCCTGCCTATGGCAGTTTTACAAAGGGGCAGTTGGGGCAGTTAAGACAATGTGCCATGCACATGACATTTTTAGTGCATTAAATGAAAGTAATAAGTGAAGCGTCAAACTCTGTCAGAGCATTAATGGTGACAAAAATTCTCCCTTAAATGAATTCCACTTCCCAAATATTCA